GAATAAAACTAAAAAAAAAAAAAGACCATACCCTTTTATGTAATGATGTTTACTTTGAATTTATATTAGTTCACACAAACACTCCATCCATGCTTTGGTTCCGGCCCTCCGGTCCAGTTTAAGAACCCATTGTGACCCTCGAGTCAAAAAGTTTGCCCACCCCTGCTCTAGACTCTCAATGGACCCACGGAAGAGGAGTGATCTGCAGAGCCCGCATCATGTCTAGAAGCGCGTCTATTTTCACTCTACTTTTCCCTTCCACTTTCACATCCTGCGATCATTTCCTTAAGAGCGAACCAAACTTTTATTGTCAAGACTGAGCCGATGAGTGTGGCTCTGTGATTACTGTCTGTCAGCCCTCTTCCATGAGCATCGCTGTGCTTTCTACTGAGCTGAGACACATAGGAAATGCATCCTCAGTCACGTTGCTTCTTTATTCAAATGGTTCTATTTCACATGGACCACTGTAGAAAGAGAGCAAGTATAAACTGTGAGCCGATGTTTCAAGATTACTTCCTGGAGCCCACAAATGTTAGTGAAATGATGACCAGCACTGATGAATAAATGTGTGTGTGTGTGTGTGTGTGTGTGTGTGTGTGTGTGTGTGTGATTTGCCACTGTTGGAGAGATGAATCAGCAAAAGTCATTTGAGCCTACGGTATACCTGTGCCCACGCCCATAAATCTGATAGTTTATATTCAGCAAAGTAAAAAGGCATCAAATTTTGTGATGGGGAGAAAAAAAAAGAGATTTGTGATGGTCCCCTTTCCTCCCCATCTTGTGGTCTTTTAACATGAAACCTCCTGGAAACAAATGTGGACATCTATGGCAACAAACTCTCTTATCTAGAAGGAACATCCTGCCGTCTCCCTTGGTTGGGCCCATCAGCGATTCAGTTTCTGAAAAGGTAATTAGATGAAAAGATATAATGGGTCCTATTTTCCTCCCGCTCAGCCATAGTGCAAAACCCCTTTTAGCGAAGCCCCTAAGAACCTTCTGAGAGCCCACTATAGGAAGGAGAGGTGACAGTTGAGAAAGGGACTTAGATAATTGCTTCCCAGTGGAAAGTTGATTTATGGGAATCCCACAGAGTAATGGTCACTCGCCAGAATTTGGGGGAGCAGCCAAATGAATGCAATTATCTCTTTCACTATAAATCCAGTCATGTTTGATCACTGCACAGATTTCATGCTCTCCTCCACACCCCTCCCCCACTGTTCTGTTACTTTAAAGTGAACCAAAATATGCCCTAGCCGGGTTGGCTCAGTGGATAGAACACTGGCCTGTAATCTGACGGGTTTGATTCCCAGTCAAGGGCTCCTATCTCGGTTGCAGGCTCCATCCCAGCCCCCGGTCGGGGAGTGTGCGGGAGGCAACCAATCGATGTGTCTCTCACACTGATGTGTCTCTCTCACATCGATGTCTCTCAATCACATCGATATTTTTCTCTTTCTGTCTCTCCCTTCCCTTCCACTCTCTCTACAAACCAATGGAAAAATACCCTCGGGTGAGGATTAACAACAACAAATATAATAATAAAGTGAACAAAAATATGGAACTTCCTATCAGGAAACGTTAACTGTCCCAAGAAAACCATCCCAAGAGCAAGCATTTGCCTCTTAATCAATATATTGCACCGTGGACACTGCATTCTGCTTCCTAAAGTTAAGCAGGATCAGGGTGTGAGAAAAGCAAACGGGAAAGAGAAAGCCCCCCCAAAGACCTTGCTTGCGGCCCACCCGCCTGTGTTGTCCTATCACAAGAACCAGAAGAACGAACCACCCCCTCGCCAGCCTGCACGGTGCCCGCTCCCCGGCATGTGCGGCCCGTCCCCGTCACTGTAGTCACCGTTAACGAGCGCTGTAATTAATAGATCGCTCTCCTGGCTCCCCGCATGCACTCGGGGCGAAGCACTTTTCCTCGAGTCAACGTTTGAAAGAAAGCCGGTCGGCGCTGACTTACAACAGCCCTGCAAATCCCTTTTAATTTAGAGCACTTACCCCACCACACTCCACTCATTACCTTATAATTACTGGACTCTTCGCACATACATTACGATCTGAGACCAGAGTTAGAAGTTATTAGGGTATTAAAACATGGCTGTTCCCTTTCCTCTCTCCGGCTCTGATTTCTCACAGCTATGACAATTAACTCTTTCAAAACTGCCCGGCAACACCATGTCTTACTTTGTTTTTTAACTATATTTTTACTGATTTCAGAGAGATAGGGAGAGGGAGAGAGAGATAGAAACATGAATGATGAGAGAGAATCATTGATCGGCTGCCTCCTCCATGCAACCCGGGCCTGTGCCCTGATTGGGAATCGAAACATGACCTCCTGGTTCATGGGTCAACGCTCAACCACTGAGCACACAGGCTGGTCTTAACTTACTACGTTAATTTTAATTATTTTAAGTGGTCCATGGTTCTTTTCAGACATGAACAACCTCCTTCATGTACACCTTCTGCCCAATTAAAATCATAATAGCCACGCTGCCATGTATCAAGTGCTTGTAAGGTGCCAGGCACTAGTCTGTGCATTTCACAACATATTACTAGATTTAATCCCCAAGACAACCTCAGGTCTGACTCCAAAGCCCAGTGCAGCCATGTCTTGAAGCCAACAGACATTTTAAAGGTGTGCACTGATTTCTTAAAAATGGCCAAGCAAGTGCAGATGTCTCATGGAGAGCTATTCCATCCTCAGCTCAGCCATGAACAAAAAGGGGCTTTTGGGGACAGCACACTGGCTGAGGCGTGGTCCCTGTAGAGCCCCTCTCCAGGGTGATAGCGACACCTAAACAAAACCTCCAAAGGAACACAGTTGACTCCTAATGACGCCTTAGCTCATTACACTGAACACTTCCTCGGCACCATTACATTATCCACGAAAACTACGGCGGGTCTTAATTCTCTCCCTCTCTGTCTCTGAGATTCTATAGCTCTATTATTCAAGCCTGAAATATTCACAACTATCTATAAATTCAATTGTCAGCTGGTGGGTTTTATTCTAGACTTCACTTCAATCTAAAATTAGAGGCACTAAAATTCGCATTAACTCTAAGAGGAATGTAGTGAATAAGACTTTATTTCAAAAGAACACCTTTTTGTCAGAAAGAGCCATTTTCAAGATGATGGCTTTATCTGCAGCCAAAGAGAATAAGCCCAATTCCACATTGTGCTGTTAACGCAGAAATTTCAGGTCACATTGGATTAATAAAAACCTGAATTTAGTTAAGAATTATGCATAGAAATAGCGTGCTGAAAACTGTGGGAAATATTTATTTTAAAGCTTAAGTATAGTTGCTTTTATTTTAAGAGGAATGATGAGCCCTGGTTGGGTAGTGTAGTTGGTTAGAGCATCATCCCAATATACCAAGGTTGTGGGTTCGATCCCTAGTCAGGGCACATACAAGAATCAACCAATAAATACATAAACAAGTGGCAGAACAACTTGATGTTTCTTTCTATCTCAAATCAATTAAAAAAAAATAAAATGATGAGTAGCACAAGGGAATAAGACTGTGTTTTTCCAAAAACCTTTTCTGAGTGAATACCCTGAAATCAAACCAGGGGGAAAAATAATTATGAGAAAACAAACAAACAAACAAAAACCCCACAAACATTTAGAAACTATATTTGAGGGGTTTAACAGTCTTCCTGAGACCGGGAAATGTCAGAGCTTTGAAAAGCATTTTCCAACAATTTGAGATAAGCCACGAATAATTCTGATTTCCATGCTTCATCATAGGAACTCATTGCCTAGCCTTGCTTAAGGGTCCGAAAAGGTAAATTTTATTTGGTGTTAGACACTAACGATCAGGCAAATAAAACTTCCTGGGTGCAGAACCACATAAGGGTGGTGAAAATTTTTGAAAATTAATTAACGGTGTATCTATGTGTGCCTGTAGAGAGAGGAAGAATAAGAATCTAAGATAATCTGTAAGTTACTATTCAATTTACATTATAATCATCGAGCAAGCTTAATTGTTTTCAGAGTCTAGCTAGATCCAGGTAAATGTGGGATCTGGAGTGAATTGCAGTGAATTTTCTCAGACCTGTGTATGCATCTGGGGGTTCCATATTTCCCAGATAGGACTAAAGCATCGCCAATATTTTAATTGTCAAATGCTGGAATATTCCACTGATTTATCTATTACTATCCCAGTCATCAAAATAGAAGTTCTACACAAATAGATATATTTCATATGAAATTCAACTTTATTTGCTACTTTTGTTCCCTACGTAAAAATTGATGCATAAAATTCTCAGAAGAAACGTATGCACACGTCTTCTTCAGTCATTCTGATTGTAACAGGAGGAAAGGATTTTTGAAACT